TAAAAAAAATGTTACGTTTCACCATCTGATACTTACTCCAGTAAATGTTAACAAACCAGATCAAAGTATATCATTGATCACTGAGGAATCGTTCAAACTACAAGTTAAGCAGAGCTTTCAGTGGCGGCATTAAAGTTTTCAGTTTACATTTAAAGCACAGCGATACAAAGATGAGCAGACCGGGACAGGTCGACACAGTCGCAAAATTCGGTTGTAGTTTTTGTGAAGGTTGTCCACCTTTCTCGCAGCTGAATTGTGCGAATTCGCGTGTAGTTTTCCCGTCTGTTGCATTTTATACATAGTTGAGAGGGTCAATTAATTTGGTTTGGAAAAGAAAGAAACAACAAAATTATCATCTATACAGTTTTAATTTTCAAATATTTTCAAATTTTACATCATTGAGAATTTATTGCTCATTCAAATTCCAATGTCAAAGTATTTATTTATATCTTGCTTTGAATTCTGGTGAATTTATTATCATATTATATCGACCAACTGTAAGCGTAAATCTAATGTTATTCCCATTCATGTTTCAGACGATGTTTTCAAATTTAGACCTAGTCTATCGAGCGAGGAATCGGGTGTCATGATTATAAGGCCCATCACTTACTTACCAGTCATTATTTCCTAACTGATGTCTGTTTGTGATGTTGTCCTCATCATCTGAACAGCTGATATCGGACTCTTAAGATTCTGAATCCGGGCGTTTATTTTCGGAAATTGGACATTTTATCGGTTCCAACTGATAGAGTTTCACACTAATATTCTCCATTGAATCAGCTGGGTTTATTCTAACGAATATCATCTATGACGTCACTGAGTCACTTGAGACGTACCTAATTAAAGATCGGCAGGCTTGCACAGCTTGGCATTAAATTGTGTATTTTATTAGATATTACTATGCAAATATAGAATTTTTCTGCCTACCCCTACTAAAATATACTTATCTAGCCTTGCAACATGAATTTATTCATTTTTTTCAAACGATGCACATATCCTTTAAGTCGGAATGTAAACATCCATTATTTTGTAATAGACAAGGATTATGATATAGGTTTAGAAAAGCAGTTGATATATTGAGAACTGTGTGTCTGTGAGTTTTGGGAATAAATCCTTCTCTTTTAGTCCTAATTGGGCCAATGAAGAGGACCACCATGCAGTGTACACTTGGCAAATTAGCGAGGTAATTATGATAACGCCGTAAAATCAATTGATGTGATTTAATTATCAAAATAAGAATAAATATTGATTTGTGGTCAATGAAAAACCATGCCCATTGATTTGATAGCAATATTAGAAGTTCCAGCTGTCTCTTACCAGTTTCCATAAACAGGAATGCATGCAGACTAAGCCTCACTACCGGAAGTAAAGAATCTCGTCCAAGAAGACACAACGAAATTCGCCATTCATTACTGAGTCAGATTCAGCTTACGGAAACTGCCGAGAATGAATTGATAGGTGACAGAGTCATTTAATAGATTTTAAAAATTGTATTGGATGTTTATTTATTAAAAAGCAATTATATGTTTAAACCATGCGATGATAGATTGATGGATATTTTAATAATGTACCATTGCGTACCATACAAACAGTATTCAATATAAATACATTCATCATTATTACAAGTCGAAAAAAGGGGGTTTGCGCTTTATTGATTCCAAATAGTGACAGCGTAGATCATTATAAAGAAATTTTTGACATAACGTTTAAGAATACTGAAAATAGATATCCTAATTACATATTACTGACGCAAATAGTTTCTTCACGTCAATGATTAAGTCATATAAAATATTGAACATTATATAATTAACTTAAGTTTGCAAATATTTGTACGGTGGCTCATATACGCCATATTTCACTTTTTATTTTGAATTAAAACCAAGGTGGTTATTCAACGAATTTTTAAGTCAACATGTCATATGACTAATATTACAGGATTTATCACCTTATTTTCACCTGGTGAAAATCAAAGATTTTAATTAAAAATTACAGGAATTATCACCTAATTTTCACCTAGGTGAAACCAATGAACACCAAGATGAAAATTTTCGTTCAAAATAAAAAGTGAAATAACGCAGTATATAGGCCACCGTAGTTTTCGTTAGGACCGGTATTGAGTATAATTATGTTTAATTTCACTATTTAATTGTATTAACAAATGTTTAGTTAGCTTTCTACATGAGTAAATCTATTTGAAAGGAAATATGGAAAGTTTATACTGATTTTAATTAATTTATTACATTTTTGCAAAGTGAAATTTAAATATATTCTTGTTGCTGGAGATGATAAATGGAATACCAAAATACTCGATTAGCTAAAAGAGTTTTAAAGATGAGTTCCCTTATTTAAATTTATAAAAGTGAAAATGTTAATACTTATATGAATAGAAAGTAGAGGTATTCTAATAACTTTGAAAAATACCAGTCTGTCTCACATGTCCATTATAAATTCATAATTAGCTAAATTAGAAGAGAAGTACCAGCAGAATTTCAATGAGTGACCGATCAATAACGGTCAAAAAGTCTTTTTATGTTTATCCAGACTTTACATACATGAGCATTTAAGATTGGTTAAAACTCTTAATTATATGCAATTAAGAACATAAAGATATGATTAAGAATACATGATAATTCATTAAAAAGACCAATTTGTCAAATAGTTTGCTTAATTTAACACTAAAAAAAATAAGGAAACCCATCTTTAACAAATAATAAATGACTGAATAATAGAAAAAAAAGATAAATTGATCGTTTTATTGCGGTCGCACGTGGGAAAATTCGTCGATTTTCATATCGTAATTAGCTACCTGCGACTTTATTAGGGGCTGGTAATTTTTCAAATCATTAGAACACCTTTACTTTCGATTGAAGTAAGTATTTGACTACATGAAAAAAGGGAAACTATATTCAAAAGAAGGATTTAGAATGATGTTGGTGTTATCAACAATTAGACACACCTCATTTTAATATATTCATAATTTAAATGAGTTTAAATTGTCGTCATTAGCGTTTTCACTCTGCTAGCTTTATTGTACAACTCATACTCACTCTATAGACAACAATTCTGTATTGATTCTTTTGCTTTTTATTTTATGGATCACTATCATTATGAAGATGATCCCTTTCGATTTTCGTGATGATCTGTTTATTTTATTTTTTACCAAAATGCCGTTTCCATTTTTCTTTTTTATAATTCATGATCCCACAAAGAGGCGAATTTTAAGAGGGATAATTATTGACATGGACAAGAAGGCTCAAGATTCGGTGGTCTGACTTGAACACTATTGTTTAGCTAAACAATTCCCTCTTCTAATACCAAGATTGATAGCACTTTAAGTTGTACGACTAGAAACGGAACTAGAAACAGTCAGAATTATTGCAGAAAAAGAAACAGTCCGACATTATTGTAGCACTAGAAACAGTCAGACATTATTGAAGCTCTAGAACCAGCCAGACATCATTGTGGAACTAGAAACAGTCAGAATTATTGCGGAACTAGAAACAGTCAGAATTATTGCAGAACTAGAAACAGTCAGACATTACTGTACCACTAGAAACAGTCAGACATTATTTTACTACTAGAAACAGTCAGACATTATTGCGGAACTAGAAACAGTCAGAATTATTGCGGAACTAGAAACAGTCAGAATTATTGCAGAACTAGAAACAGTCAGACATTACTGTACCACTAGAAACAGTCAGACATTATTTTACTACTAGAAACAGTCAGACATTATTGAAGCTCTAGAACCAGCCAGACATCATTGTGGAACTAGAAACAGTCAGAATTATTGCGGAACTAGAAACAGTCAGAATTATTGCAGAACTAGAAACAGTCAGACATTATTTTATTACTAGAAACAGTCAGGCATCATTGCGGAACTAGAAACAGTCAGAATTATTGCGGAACTAGAAACAGTCAGAATTATTGCAGAACTAGAAACAGTCAGACATTATTGCAGAACTAGAAACAGTCAGAATTATTGCAGAACTAGAAATAATCAGACATCATTTTACTACAAGAAACAGTCAGACATTAGTTTATTACTAGAAACAGTCAAACATTATTTCAGAACTAGAAACAGTCAGACATTATTGCAGAACTAGAAACAGTCAGACATTATTGCAGAACTAGAAACAGTCAGACATTATCTCAGAACTAGAAACATTCAGACATTATTGCAGAACTAGAAACAGTCAGACATTATTGCAGAACTAGAAACAGTCAGACATTAGTTTATTACAAGAAACAGTCAGACATTATTTTAGCACTAGAAACAGTCAGACATTATTGAAGCTCAAGAAACAGGCAGACATCATTGCGGAACTAGAAACAGTCAGACATTATTTCAGAACAAGAAACAGTCAGACATTATTGCAGAACTAGAAACAGTCAGACATTATTGCAGAACTAGAAACAGTCAGACATTAGTTTATTACAAGAAACAGTCAGACATTATTTTAGCACTAGAAACAGTCAGACATTATTGAAGCTTAAGAAACAGGCAGACATCATTGCGGAACTAGAAACAGTCAGACATTATTGCAGAACTAGAAACAGTTAGACATTATTGCAGAACTAGAAAAGTCAGACAGTATTGCAGAACTAGAAACAGTCAGACATTAGTTTACTACAAGAAACAGTCAGGCATTATTTTAGCACTAGAAACAGTCAGACATTATTGAAGCTCAAGAAACAGTCAGACATTATTGCAGAACTAGAAACAATCAGACATTAGTTTACTACAAGAAACAGTCAGGCATTATTTTAGCACTACAAAACAGTCAGACATTATTGAAGCTCTAGAAACAGTCAGACATTATTGCAGAACTAGAAACAGTTAGACATTATTGCAGAACTAGAAACAGTCAGACATTACTGTACCACTAGAAACAGTCAGACATTATTTTACTACTAGAAACAGTCAGACATTATTTTAGCACTAGAAACAGGCAGTTATCAAGGTAACATTATAGTCAGATAATCCTGTAGCGGTAACATCAGAAGCAGTCGGATACTATTGTACCACTTTGTTCTCTAAAATGTTTGTCTTCATATTTCATTACCATAAGTTTACATCCGTTTTTCAATTTGATTTGAACACATCTGGGCTCCTTGTAACAGACTGAGCGGCATTCCTCTAAGTCTTCCGTCGGGTGCTGTATAGCAAAACTTAAAACACATTTTCCACACCCGTCATAATTGGATATTTCAATACACTTGGGATTGTCTTCGCATGCCTTTTTACATTGTTTAAAAGTGCATACATCTGGTCTTTGGCCATCCGACCTTAAAAACCGCCCAGTCGTGTTTAGACGATCCCGGTTTCTGCAATCTGAAATGAAATACATGTATTATTCATTTGTACCGATCATGCGGTGAAACATCGACGTTAATCATATGTAATACTTATCATTATTGTGACACAAGTTTAACATGAACTGAAATTAAATTGAATGGTGGACATATAAAAATTTTACATTTTATTTATGGTGTGCTTTGTTTTTTTTTTGGTTCAGAGTCGAGCTAATATTTTAATCCTTATCTTTCCTAGCTAGTGTAGTAGATTCATTCTATTCGTTCCGTTATATTTACAAGCATTTTTTTTTATGTATCCACTTCAGATAGGTTCTAACGACAGCCCTCTTGAACTTTCGTCAAATTAATCTTTTGAACTAACCTGACAAACACTGCTGACGAACATTCAAAAGGGCTGTCGTTAGACCCTAACTGAAGTGGCTATATTAAAATCTAAAAAAAAAGGGACGAAAGTTTAGTTTAATTTGAAGTCACCACTATTTTGATCTGAATCTGGTAATGAGGCCCTGGCGTAGTTTCGTATTGGTCAGACACATTACAGTACAATGCAAAAATAGGTACGGTCCTAATGAACCGTCCTGGTTATTAATCAACACTTCTTGGAAAATTACCTAAACATTGGATGCTCTGTTTATATTGTCCGTCATCTTTACATGTTAATGTTCCTTTTCTACCCTCAGTTGTGTATCCTGGATTACATTGGAAGTCAATAATCGTTCCTACTTCAAATGATGAATGAGTAGAAGTGATAGCTCCGTGGGTCACTTCTGGACTTGAACTGCAGGTTATTGGTTCTTCTGTAAACAAGTATTAAAATAAAGTGTGGGAACTGAAGAAAGTAAACTACAGAATCCATTTATGAATGTACACGAGTTTAAACTTTCTATTACTTAAACAATTATAGGGGAGAGGGGGTGGGCGGGATTAAAGATTAAAGATTAAAGATTCTTGCATTAATACAGAAAACTGGTTAACAATTTCTGAAATTGCTGATACCAAGATATAGATAGAACTTCACTTTCACAATCTTCGGGAAAGAGAAACCCCGTTCCATAGGTAAAAAAATCCTCCATTAGTCGGGAATTCAAATTTACTTTAGCAAAGTCCATTTTCTTTTGCCTTGCATGATATTAGTCCAATAAGCCATACAACATACATAGAAAAATTACCTAAACATTGGATGCTCTGTTCATATTGTCCGTCATCTTTACATGTTAATGTTCCATTTTCGCCTTCAGTTCTATATCCAAGGTTGCATTGGTACTCAATAATAGTTCCTACTTCAAATGATGAAGGAGTAGAGGTGGTGGCTCCGTTGGTTACTTCTGGATTTGAACTGCAGGTTATTGGTTCTTCTGTAAACAAGTATTAAAATAAGTAATTGTTTAATATGAACTTGAACTGTTGTAGGACTAAAGAAAGTGAAAAAATTCTTCCAAGAGTGATCATGCGTTAAATCTGTCTTATCGTTGAAAAGGATCTTACAAATTATCCTATTCGTTCATCCGAATCTCCTTGCCTACCTGTCTATAAAAATTACCTAAACACTGGATGCTCTGTTCATATTGTCCGTCATCTTTACATGTTAATGTTCCATTTTCGCCTTCAGTTCTATATCCAAGGTTGCATTGGTACTCAATAATCGTTCCTACTTCAAATGATGAAGGAGTAGAGGTTGTGGCTCCGTTGGTTACTTCTGGATTTGAACTGCAGGTTGTTGGTTCTTCTGTAAACAAATATTCAAACAAAAATACAGTGTTTAATCTGAGTTAAAATAGAGTCTTAAACATCTTGACTATCTAGCTTTAACTGAATGTCACGTTGGTCAGAATGTGCGAGTCTATGGCACGACTATGGTACGAATACAGGGGCACCGGTTACCAATAATATCATTGGTATCCTCGCTAGCATCTATACAGTGGTCAAGATAATATGATTAAAATTAGTTCCATTTTTTTTTTATTAATTTTTATTTCTAATATAGCCACTTCAGTAGGGTCTATCAACAGCCCTCTTGAACGTTTGTCAAATTAACATTTTGACCTCACGCGATGAAGTCTGCTTTAACCAATCAAATTTTTACCTTCTCCATTTTGTGACACAGTGGAGTTTGACGGACTTTCAAGATGGCTATAGTAAGAAGTGGCTATAACATGAACAAAAAGAACTTATTAGTAAATATAGATCGATATCTGTGATAGATTTCTATCAAAAGATGAGACATTTATTAAGACAATACTATCGGTAATCAACAGTAGAATTGTAATAAACATCGCTTACCTGTTGTTGTAGAGATATCTGCCATGGCTTGACCGAGCGCATTTCCCTCATTAATATTAGAACAATCATCAAACATTTCATTGAAGAACTGACAAGCGAAAATAACCATCTCATTTGGAGCTGCCCAACACATTGAAAAAATCCCGAAGAGAGCAACGATTTTTGCCTGGATCTTCATTGCTGGGATTTCAGATCGATGCCGTTCAATCAAATCATTTAATGCGATTTTCACAAGGGTGTAACTTAAAGCGCCCAATTAAAATGATTATCGAAAAAGTATAATTATAAACCTATTGTACCGTAACCATATTTTGAAAAAAAATGTTTATAAATATTTTCATCCCTCTGTTACTGCAGCAAAAAAAACAAATACTGATAATAATCAATACTATTTTGGAAAGATACAATTTGTAGGCCCTTATTTCTTAAACTCTTATCCTGTATCATCTTTAAAATGAAGCGACTATTGTGCGATGACACACCAACTAACACCACAGTCAGTTTCATGTTTCTTAAAATAGACTAAAACACGTTATATTTAAAAGGACAGTTGTGGCATTTTTTTTTTGGTTTGATTTGAGTCTTGAATATATGAAAATAGTCTTCAGAAGTACTAGAAATGTACGAAAGTCGCATAATTCTTTTATAAATACTTCAAACAAGGAATCTTACTCATTATTTCTATATATGTGTTTTCGGTATATCACATAAAATCTTATCTTGACGAGTCGTCATTTTAACATTCAAATGCGGATAATTCTGGACACACGTGAATTTGAAGGCTAAAATTTCGACGGTGAGCTGTGAACACTATTACTGAAAATTCCCGTTTCTGAGACCAAAGTGTGATTGGTAAAAAAAAAGGCACATCTGTATTTAACTCTAGTCTTCCTTGGCCTACATCAACCACGTACTGTAAGAGCTAATTTTATTGACGTAATGAACCAGCTGATATAAATGATCCGACGATGATAAAGGATGAAGCCATTAGTGATAAAATTGACAAGAAATGAGAAAATATATATAAATTGCAGTGATGCTTACTATGAAAATGTAGGTCCCATATAAATGAATTGATTAGATCTTTTTAAAACAAGAATAATTCAGTCGAGCTTTCAATGTGTGAGCAAATTGCCTTAGTAGGAACCCCACCCCGCCCAACAACCATATTAACTGGAACTCGATTTTTTAAATTGTGTTGAACATTTGCTTAAAATAGTTTCGCATGTGTTGCTATTTTGAAGCTGCCATGTAAATTTAAGTGACCGTGTCACTTTTTGTTGTATTACGAATCAAGGTTTTCTGGACTCTTTCCTACCTGTACATATTACATAGGCCTTATGTGGGATAGAAAAGAAATGAAAGTCAATGTGTATTATAAAAAGAAATTCTGTATGTTACCAATAGTTATACAATATGTTATATTATATAACTCTATGGTGTTACCACAGTTTACGATTTATCTTTGTTGAGTAGGCCCATAATTGAATGAAAAGACGCACCTTGCACAAATTCTTGAGAGTTATCTTTCCTTAAATAGGTTTTTTAACAATCGTATTTATCGTCAATGTTAATTTATTGATAGTGAATTTCTTCAAATGTGACATTTATTCATCAATAATATATAACACATATATTGACGCATTTTCAGAGATGTGTAATCTGTTCGATACAAACGTCGGCTGTGATGTTTAATGGAGATTTGGGACTGGATAGATCATGTCTATTCCTGGGCGGTTGTTTTGAAAATGGCTGACACAGAAAAACAGAATTTGACAGTTTCAAAAACATTTCGTAAATATAAACTTCATGTATAATATCGTTCACTAACATCGCATGTTTATGATTTCAAAATAATTGTACAATCAGTTATATTAAAAATTGCACTTCAGTGTTGAGTCGCTAACACTTGTAAATTCTTAGTCGTTTTTACCTGCTAAATTCTAAAAGTAAAAAATATTTTTTGTCCAGGGGACAATTGTAGAAGGAGAACAACTATCATGTAAATTTTAGTTTAGTTATTTTAGCATCAAACATGGTCATAATGCATATCTAAAAGAAAGGAAACTACCCTACGCTACATAAAAGGAATATTGAGAAGTCTACTTTATAACTTGGCTTTCTTACGAAAAAGAAATAAATCAGAATAAAGGTAACAATTCATGAAGGCCCTAAGGGTAGGCTGAAAGACAGAGTAAAAGAGTTGATCATGCTTACACTACCAATGCAATGCAGCTTACAATAAGCCTACTGATCCAGCTATTGTTTAATCCGTTATATCTAATGGCCTACAGGATACAGGGCTTCATAAGCTTACTTAGTATACAACGTATATTTCAGGTTTTATATCCTATGATGGCAACCATATAAATTTGTAGTAAGCTTACGTTTAAGAATGGATAGCTCTATCAATTTAAGAACAGGTAAAAATCCTTCACAGACTAGAAAAAATGAAGCATCTACACCAGCTCCCAAATTTGGTGGAATTAAGAAAAAACAGAAGAAATTTCAGCTAACAAGACGAGCCAGAATAAGTTTGAACACATCAACTTCTGGTAGAAAGAAAATCAAAACACTAGCTTCTAAGATTAATACAAGTTGTAAGTAAAGTCAAGGCAAAGTGGTAGACTTATTATCAATAGAACTGAATTTTTTTCCTCCGAAAATTCAACACTGCAAATAAATGCTGTAGATCTGAAAATGGTTTGTCAGTGTGTTTAAGATATGTAATACATGGTATGAATTTATAATACACTTTAACTAATTTACTGACTAACTTTTATGATTCTATAATCTATAGTCTAAACTAGTGAAAAATTGATTAATTTTGATAAATAGTGTGTGAGCTAACCTTAATTAATAATTTGATTATTTCAGTAAATAGTTCTAGAATTGTTAAAGAGGCACTGAATCATAATAACAGAGCTCTGGTAACAGAACAACAGAGAATACAGAATGAAATACAGAATATGAGACAGAAATGTGAAGATTTAGTGGAAGAAAATGAAGATATTGTGTATGAATTAGAAATGTTAAATAATTTGATGAATTTAACTGATTCTGAGGAGAAGGTACAGGCTGTGGTTGATATGAGAGTTCAGGTTAGTACAAATTGTGTATGGTATTTATAAATAGGGCTGGGTAGAATGATCAAAATTATCGATTATCATCATCAGGAATTTATAATTTCGATTATCGATTATCAAATTTCATACTCGATTATAGGTCAAAGTAACATTTTCTGAACTGTACCATTTAACAAGTAGTAATCTCTTCTACATAGGTTCCCTTCAGCATAAAACTTACCCACAATAAGCTATAATAACCAATAACCAAGAATATGCTTCTATGACGCAGATATAACCTATGAAATTAAGTCATTTGGCATGTGTTTAATTTAGTAACTGGTATTTACAGGGTTTTTCAATTTAATTATTTTGATTATGAATTGATTATTGATCAGTAGCCTGCCATTGATAATCGATATCAATTTTGTAATCGAGACCCCGTCCTATTTATAAAGGTAGAAGACATTCCAAAACAAATAGCTTGAAATTCAAATTTATATGTTAAATATTTGTGAAATCTTGGGAGGATTTGAGAGGCCACTCACCTAATTTTAAAAATGAACACATCCAAACATTCTCATATTGATATAAATAGAACAGTTCAGAAGAAAGTAAAGGGGTGTCAAATAGATGACTGCCGCACTATATCCAACCTTGCTGAGGGAGATTGGTTAGTTATAAGACCTGCATTTTAATGAAGGTCACAAATCCTGTGAATTATTATCTATGTTGATTTTTAGATAAAAAATTTAGATTGTTTATTTTCATGTCACTGGATTTAGAGAAATAAAAATAATAGTACCAGTACTGGAAATTAGTTACTCAATCCCTTTAAAAGTGGTCATCTGATTGGCTAGATTAAGCCACTCCTTATTTAAATGTTAAGGTCATGTATGTCATGTGGATGGCATATTCTATGTCACATTATAAGATCTATCTTTCAAGTATGAAATAACGTATTTTATTTTCTGTTACAGGCTCATATGTCTCAGTTGACTGATGAAATAGAAAAGACAGTGTATAATTTTAGACAAGCATTAAAAGGTGTTGTGTCATTACGAGGTTTGATAAAAGACCCAAGACTTATCATGTCAATGCCTTTAAATAGTCCTAGAGATGATGAAGAAATAAAACTATCATATATGGAAAGGTAACATTGAAAAATCATATACGGATTGATTTCTAGCTGTAGACAATTAGCAGAGCAAAAGCAAGATTATTTACTTTCTGTTTACTCCAATAATATGTGTCTAAAAACCCAAATATCTTGGTTGATTAGGCTTATCTGTTTACATGTGAAAATAAATACACAGCTATGCAAGAACGCTGGTTATGAATGGTTATGGTGGGATGTCGTCAACTATCTAGGCTGAATTTGAACTTATATGAATAGTATCATATAAAGGGAAGACTACAAGTTGTGATCTTGTCACAATAGTAGGGTTACCTTAAAAAAATTATGTTTGGTTGTAGTTTGTTTCTGATTTAATTAGATACTTTTCTTTTATTTTAACATCCTTTAGCAAAGATTATCATTCAACTCCAGAATAATAATGTTGTCAATTACTTCATTTCAATCCAAATTATCTTGCAGATTACAAGAGATATTTAGTAATACTGATATTTATGATGAACGTGATAGATATGATAATGATTTAATCAATGATAATGATAATATACCTGATAACCATACAGATGAGCATCCAATAGGTGAATATTTTCCTTACATAAAAGGATGTTTATGGCAAATATTTCAAAACTTTCCTTTTTGCCTTCTCCATTTGTCCTTATCTCCCTTTATAAGACACATTTTGATATGAGTTTAGATCAGATCTTGTATAGACTCTATCATCCAGTCCCTTATTGTCTACGTACAGCTTCGATGAAAGATAGCCTGGACTTGTTGCTTGTAATCTTTAAGCGAGTCTGCTGTGGCTATTGAATCTGATTAGTGGTAAATCCACATCTGTTTTGGTGATGTAAACAATTTAATTTGAATAATTCAGTGAATTTGACAATGTCTTTGAATTTTGATTCTTTGCTTGAAAAATCGATAAATTATATTTATTTAGTTTGCAGATTAGAATATCAGATATAAACTGAGAAAACT